AGTAACAAGTAACATTCAGTAATGAATGCATAGTTTTCTGCAAATGGCATATGAACCAAAGAAAGGTGAACAGTATCTGATATTCTGTTCCCAAGAACTAATTGGACCAGCTGTGGTCTGGCATTCTGGGGAGAAGTTTGGGAATGAAATGAATATTGTGTCTCTGCCATGAGCAAATCACAGTCTCCAGTGAGTTTGTAGCTGTCTTCTGTACTAGAGACATCTTCTCACGTTACTCTGGAGAGCCGTGGAAATAACCAGTTTTCGAGTAGCAGTAGTTAAATATTATGTAGCCAACAGGTTAGGCTGTTAATATTGTGGAAGGTCATTACTGACTCCATATGTCCTCTGGTAATGACATCCTGTTTCTGGAAACACGCTATTCTCTTGCGTCATCTGCACATGTCATTAGAGAAGAGAAGCACGACTTCTTAGTGTGTACTGAGTCTTGAAGGGGCTATACTCAAGCTGTGCAGTAGCTGAGGAAGAAATTTCTTGGCTTTCTTCACGGTGCCGCCTATGTTGCAAGCAGGTGAATGGTTCAGGGCAGTGAAAAATCTATGGATTTTAATTTTTTTTTTAACTTTGAGTAGAAGAATCAAGTCCAGCTTCTGAAAGGAGGTTTTAGCAGCACAAAGGAATAGCTATGGGCTGTCAGATCTGGGAGCTCATCCCTCTCCTGTCTGGAGAACTGCCATTCCTGTTCCCTGTCTTCCCTGCTAGTTAGTGTTGAATTGACTGTAGACAGAGGAAGGTAAGGAGAAGGAGGAACTGATGACCTCTTGATTAATGTATGGAGAAGAACCAGCTGCTGTTTCCTAAATTTGCAGTTGTTGGCAGAAACTAAGCAAAGGTGGGTGAGACAAACAGCACACATTATTGTTTGTTAGGTGAGTGAGATGTGTCACTGTCACCCTCACACACAAGTTGTAGGTGCCTTTGAAGTATCATTGCATCTATCTGACCTCATAGGCATTACGTTTGAGAGCATTTGGTTTCATGAGCGTTTGGCTATAGGCTGTAGACTCTGCTGTTGAAAGTAGGTCCCAGAACATTATCTAGTGCCTTTCATTAACTGAGGCTTAGCACAGGTGAGGAGCTTTTGCCTGAGACAGCTATCCTGGTACACAGAGCGCTGCTGTGTCTTCCACCTGCAGCTGAAGAACGTCCGTGAGTGTCACCTCCTGCACAATGTCACTGGTGTTTATGTGTAGTGAAGTATCTCTTAGCAAACACCACTGCAGTATTGGACTCTACCGCCTTCCAGATCGTTCTCAAGTATAAATCACCAGTTTGATTTTGACCTAGAAAACTCTGCACGTTACATATTTGTACCTAGAGAAATTGCCTCCCACCTTACGGAGGGTCTGCTACCAGTCATACATAAATTGTGTGGGAAGGGGACTGATGGGGGCGTTGTCTTCCACAGGGCTGCTTGGACTCATTTATGCTCATGGTCCAGGAAAGCACAAGTTTGTTAACCATGAGCCTTCTGAGCTTTGGGAAGTGTCTGTGAGGGGCAGGGGCTTAGAAAAGGTGGTTTCTGCCCACTCCAGCTAATCTGTTTATGTCTTTCTGTCTCATGTAATTCTCTGGCACCTATCACCTTGGTAGCTAAGCATGTTTCTCAGGTGACCATGGCTTTTTTTCACGTTCTCCTCTTTTTAATAGTCTTTCCTCCTTTCTTTTAAATAGGTCTTTAATAAAGTTGAGAATTCTTGCACAGGGTTTTATAAACATGTGTTATTAAATTTTAAATCTGTTTTGAAAGTGCCTCTATCCTACTCCCTCCTAGTAAAGTGACCTTTTTAAATGGAGGGAAGTGGGTTTAGATGACAGTCATGATAAATGCGGTCATGTTCACTCAATAAAATAAGGCCCAGTGCATTTGAGGATAAATCAGTGAAATGTACAGCCCCACCTGTCTGTCTCCATCATTCATTTCCACTGTCACTTTCACAGTGGCTGATGGATCACAGTTGCTGTAAAATTAGACAGCCTTTAATCTCATTTCATCCTGATTAGCTTCTCCTTACCCTTTCCCTCTAACTCACTGACTGACACGCTAAAAACTCACACCAGGCTGTGTTTGAGCGTGGCGTACAAACTTCTCTTCAAATACCCTTTTTGCGGGGCAGGCAGGTGTTCCACTGAGTTGAAATCGAAAAATAAGAAGATGAGATTTTCACATTATTAAAGGAAAAACAGCAGACAAAGGCTCATAGAAAATAAATGAAAGCAGCAGCCTGGCCGGACTCAGATGGGCCAAATTTTGCTGGTTACACCCTGGCAAGCCCAGTGAGTTTGAGAAGATGGTTCCTACTAGAGGCTGAATTTAGCGTGCTCATTGCCATGTAATTTTGACTGTATCTTTGAAAAATTAGGTCCTATATGGGTGTGTGTCGATAAGAAATTACAGTTTACGGCACAAATTTTTGGGTGCTTTCAAATGGGCATTTTATAGTGGTAAAAAAAAAAAAATTTGTTGATTCCCATCATTTTTATTTCTGCTTATAACTCAGGATTCTTAGGGCCCCTAAGAAAATGGCCAGGGAGGAAGATTGCGATGTTGGCGGATTCACATTTTCAGTGCCAAAACTCACTCCCTCTAAGAGGTCCATAGTGTTGCTCCATCCTCCCTGTTTTGCCCAGCCCTCTCCAGCCCCATGGGTAGACCAAGAACAGAGTTTTCCTCTGAGAAGGTTATAGAAAAGGTCTGCACTATTTTATTGCAGTCATCTTTCCTTCTGAAGCCCAAGTACTGCCCTCCTTTCAAAGGCAAGCTTACCTTTAGCTTCCGCCTTAGCTTTAGTTCTGGTCATTCAGGCCCAATCCCACGTTATTGGGAATGTTGCCATCAAGTTAAGTAGGAGCCAGGATAAAGCCCTTAGTTTTCCAGGTTTAATTATCATAAGTGTGGGAGTCTTATTGCATGCTTTATATGCATGGGAACAGCAGAAAAAGCTTGAATTATAATTTCTTCCTCTACTGGCTCTCCTTGCATCAATATGGAGGCTAAATAAACAGATTTTTTTGTTTGCAAAAATGAAAACAGAACATGTGAAAAATACACATGTGCTGCCTGAAGACAGTTCTTTTGATAAATGCTAGATGTCTCCAGCTTGACCAACAGAAGAGCCTGGTTTAGAGTACAACCACTGGCTTGGACCTAGCTGGAAACCATAATAGAGCATTAGATTAGGTAAGAATTGAAGCCCCTGTAGTCTGATCCTGGGGAGTCTCTTACTGAGATGAGAAGTCCCCAAAAGCATCTAAGGAAGACAGCAAATTTCCCATGAGAGACCCAAATTCATTATGTAGTACAAGAATACACAAAATCAAGGAGAGCGCTGGGGTTTGGGCAGAGAAGATTTTAAAGGAGGAAAATGTCTGAGATTAAAGGATGAGATAAATGCGATATCAGGGTTAAGAAGGTGACAGAATTACCATTCTTCCATCCCACTGTAGGAATCTCTGGGTAGTATAAAATCTTACGCAGTGCCTAGTATAGAAATATTTCCCAGTTATATAAAGTGTGCCAGCAACAAATAACATTAATTAACAAACTTTTCAGTATACCTGGCTGCCCAATTTAAGAATTACTTCACTTACATGACTTCTAAGAGCACAGACTATGAAGATGATATTCAACGTTTACTGGAAACTGAAAACATGCCTTACTTATTCGTCATTGCCTCAGCAAAAACTTGAGTAAGAAGCTTAAATGAGCCTGCTTGATCTTTAAGAAAATGTGTCCTAAATAACAAAGCTGTGCATATTTCTTCTTATTATTATTTGCATATGCTATACTGCACAACTGCATTCTGAGAAAAATAAAAGATAATAAAACAAATGAAATGAGAGATATATCACCCAAAATAATCCAAGTGTGAGATAGGCTGCCTCTTTTTTTTTTTTTTTTGGCATTGGCAAAAGAGCACAAAGTAAGAGCTGGCCCTGAGTCATATTGATTTCCCACTGCACTGGTTTCCTAAGTGCTCTGTTGATCCGTGTCAAGCAATAAGTTCCCTGCCTGTACATGCACATCACCTCCCCATTTGTCCTCACCTAGATTTAAGGTGCCCATATGATGAGCTGAACAAGGACATCATTTTTCCTACTGGTGTCACTGGGCCAAAACTACTCTATGCGGTATGATAACTAATGCTGTGTAAGTTTACATTTACCATATACTATCCTAACAGTTCAGTATGGCACACTGCAGTACTATGTACGTGTTATGTATGTGCAAGTCCTTATTTTCGTGTCTTAGCATTTGCAGTGGAAAATGTAAATTTAAAAAAATAGATTTTTGCGGCTGTAGTTGGTCCACAGTAATCGCAACATCTCCAAAAAAAAGGGATATTGCAAACCTAATGCCACAGTTTTGATCTTTGTTAACAAAGGGCTTCCTGATTAGATGAATAGAAAATGTGTGATTGTGCTGCTAATGACATTGTACAGGAAATTAAGCGTATACATTTGGAAAAGGCATTAAATCAGCAGGACCTTAATTTAAAAACTTAAAACTGTATGGAAATGCAGCTTGTTCATTGCTGTGTAATAGAAAGCTACTGAACATACTGACTCTTCTTGTGGAAACATTACCAGCAGAACAAAGCTGGGCTGAGGGGTTTTTTTCATGTTTCCTAGCATACTAGAATTCCTTGCATCTGCTTATTTTCAGGGAGATATTAGGCAACTTCACTCCTTTTTACAGGTTGTTTTTAGAGCAGCATATACAGCATTTGGGCAGATGTGGGAGGTGCTGAGAGACCAGAATTGCAGCAGTTTTCCTTAGTTATTTGCAGAGTTGAATAATATAAAATTACTAATAAGTGTCTTTGTCTGCAGCTAAGTTAGTGGACATATGTGCTTGAGGTGATGCATTCACCTCTTATTTTATATAGATGTAATCTCAGTGCTGTATTTTTTACCTCTGGAAATATTTGATGGAATCGGTGCCCTGAACTGACAAAGAATTCTTGCTTTACTTGCAGTTATGCCGTATAACAGTGCCCATCACTGTGTTGTGGAAGTGGAAAACTTCTTGTTCGTGCTGGGAGGAGAAGATCAATGGAACCCTAATGGTATGTATAGAATATTAAAAGGCACAGGCAGCATCTGCCTTCTTGTGTCCGTCTGTCCATCAGGTCAGCTCATCTACTCATTAGCAAGGGATTTTTGAGGACCCTCAGCCTAATTGTTGAACCTAGTAAAGGCTACTTTTAGATAGTGATGTAATAAATATCTGGTACTTTGGCATTAACATCTCTGTCATTTATCAGCTCCCACATCCCTTGAGAAATGCTACAGGCAGCAGAACAGACTATTTCAAGTGCATGTACCAGGCAGCAGCTGCTAAGAATTTGAGCCTTCATTTTCAGTCTCCTTCCAGTCATAATATAATAATGCAATTGCAGTAGATGAATGCTTCCCTTCTATTGTCAAACAAGATACTCTCAGCTAAAGTTGTTAATGTGTTAATTATCTAGACTCTGAGATTCTTAAACTGGTCCTTTTTTTAGTCTTGTGCAAGAGCTCCTCATATAGATTATCTGCTGCTACCTTCTTTGATTTGATTACTTCATAAATTTACCACAAAGAGAAATTAAACGATTTAACAGGCTTCTGAGCAAAGCAAAAGGAGAATACCATGCCTTGCAAAATTCACAAAATTGTCAAGACATTGTTAAAAAGCTTGCACATGAAGAAAGAGTTGTAGTTGTAGCAGTCTGTGTAACAGAGATAATTAAGACTGAGAAACTATAAAACAGCTTGCAGGTACACATTTTTACTTTAAAACACCAGAGGATCCAGCTGAAATTACATATACTGCATATATTTTATTGTGAATGCCCCATTTCAGCATCTGCACTAAACCAAATTATAGAAAATTGTTACATCTGTTCACTTCCTAAAACCTGAGACAAACAATCCAGTCCACCCTATAAGCATATTTCCGGTGTAGTTAAAAATATCACTAAGTGTCTTAGGAGAACAGCCCCTTAGTTCTATTGTTGAATCTCCTTTATATTAAACAGGAGATAGCGAGCTATCATTAATGAGAGTTATTTTTAGGACCATCAGCCACATCCAATAACTGGGGGCCCTGTTGTGCTTGGTGGTAGGCTTATGGATAGTAAGAGGCGGACCTTATTCCAGATAGCTTATAGTTAAATGATCATGTGACATGGAAGATATAAAAAGAGAAGTATAACTACCCACAATTTAAAGATCTGGAAACTGAGTTGCAAGAGGTTGGAGAGATGTTAGAAGGGGTACATATCCTGCATCTGAGGTAGGAGTCAACTGTTTGTGGGATGGGTAGTACCTTAGGTCTGAGGCCACCTAGATCAAGTCATGAGCTGAAGATGTTGCTGAGGATGTCTGAACAGCTTCCTTGTTCTGTGAATACCAGTGCTATGTTTTTTGTCTGTGGAGGAGATAGGAATAGAAGAGGTAGGATCATTACCGATACTGATCTCTTTATGAATTTACCTCAGGAGAAATGGATCTTATGTGTCACAAAATGGAGACCTGAAATCGTAAACTACGTCCTGTGTTGTTGCTGGGCTAGTTCTTCCTTGGAACTTACTGGCTCTAAATGCGCAGCCATGTGGGAATTGCTTGCACATACATGCTGAATTTACATAAAGGCCCTTGTCTGCTGTCCTCATAGCATAGAAAGGTCTTCAGATGGACCTTGCTGGAACTGTCTTGTCTGAGCATTACAAGAAGCATTTCAGTTTAAATGAGAATATGTCAGGTGTTTCTCCAGTGCAAAGAATTGTCATCGAGATGAGGGCGATGAAAAGAGCATCATACATTTCTTCAGCCATCACACCAACCAATTCTTGAGAAGCTGAGTGGACCCCAAGGAGCACCCATGCCCCCTCCATGTTGCTCCCGTGACTTCCTGACAACCTCGAGAGCATGGGAGACTTTTTTTTCTCACTTCTTTATGTGTTCCTGTGGCTATTCCTTTCCAGTCACAAGGTATCCCTGCACAAGTAAAAACTGATGAGAGTAGGTTGCAGAACAAAATCATGGTTGTAAGACAAACCTTCAAAACCTTCAGAGCCCCTCACTTCTTTGGCATGGCTGCAGAGAGCAGCAGCTGCCTCCTTTTGTCCTATCGCCTCGATTTGCTCATCCTGATTTCCAAGCACTTGTCACAGTTTCTGCATTGACAGGTACTTCCTAACATGTGTAACCTCCTGACGAATGAGTGAGGCAAAATAATAGGTACAGTTCTCTTTCAAACTGAAGTCCAGAATTAAACTGGAGTCAAACCAGTTGCACCAGGCAGCTTAAGTAGGACATCAAGTCCTTTCCTGCCACCACAGGGATCATAAAGTCCCATTTTGTAAATTTTCTAAGCTAGATTTAAAAAGAAGTTGGCTTTTAGCCCCCACTACTCTTTTTGGAAAGCAGTTACAGAATCCAATTGCTCTAAATGACTAGAAGTTTTATTCTAATTTCCAGTAAAAGGTATTCTTTGAGTGTCTAAATCACCTTGTTCTCATGCCAAAGTTGGCCTTTAGCTCAGTAGTTTTTCCCCTCCTGGAGATTAGTTCCTCTGGTGTATTACAGACAGCACTCCTATCCCCTTTCAGCCTTTGTTCCCCTAGATATAACAAGCCAAGTTCTTTGTCTCCTGCCATAAGGTAAACTTTCTGTTCCTCCTTTCACCCTAGTAGCTCTTCTTTGTGTCTGTTCTAGTTTGATTTCATCTCTCTTCCTGTGAAGTGACCCGATTTCTATCCTGTATTCCCACTGTAGGTTCACTAAACCCTTCCCTGTGCTGCACAGTCCTCTGCATACGTGGTATTTGTAGTGAATGCGTGTATGACTCTTGTTACATGAGGAGGCCGAGGTCTCCAAGTGAAAGATTTGCCTGACAACAACTACAAAGCTGCTGTATAACCAGTGAGCACTGAAATCCCCTGTAACTCTGAAAGATGTAGTGAACATGGCAGCATTGAAACCTCATACTAGAAGTTCAAACCTATGATCAATACTTACATTGTTTTGAAATCCTTCTTTTGGAAATAGAAATAGATTAATAAATGTCCTAAATAATAAGACCCAGAGCCAGTAAGGTGCTGCTGTTACTGTTCTACTGTTTATTGAATCTATAGCTCTCAACACTTCTTTTTCTAAATTGTCTGTATAGACTAAGGGAATTCTGATGGAGACCAAGAGCAAAGCCTCCCTTCACTAAACCCAGTGGCAAAATGACTGGTTGCCCTTAGTGTACGGGGATCTCACCCTGTGTCGTGAGATGTGTTTGAGTGGTGCTCAGCATGAAGGGCTTTGGTCCTCATTAGGCACCACGCTGGCTTTGAAGGGAAATGCTGCATCATTCATTAGTCTTCCGTTTTACCCTCTTCATACAGAACGTGCTTATAACATAGTGAGGGAATGAGTTTGCTTCCAGACTGAGTGGTCAACGTGGTTTCTTTCTCGGTTTTCTTGTAGAACACGATGTTAAACTACTATGAATATAAATTCTAGCTGTACAGTTACTCTTCTCAGCAGTCTTGATGGTCTGCTTACACATGCTGAAGTAAGTGTGGAATGAAACAAACAAAGCGAGCTAATCCTACAGAGGCTTGTCCAATGCAAAAATATTCACCTTGTAGAATACCCAGTGACCATTTGTAGAACTGTGACATATGCAGTTGGGTTATTCTGCTGGCCTGTGAAGCCTCTAATTCAATTTTTTAGTCACACATACATAAACAAAGGTTTCTGTTTCTGAGATCCTCATCTGTTGAAGTCTCAGGTGTTACAGGAAATTGCCATACACTCTCTTGCTTCAGTTTTCTTGCTTTGATGTCAATCTGCATGTAAAATAAGGTGAAATCTTAATATCGTGAAGACATGAACACAGTTCTTGGGCTTGACAGCAGGGATAAGCTAGTTAGCTGGTGTCTAGTGCTCATGTTTCACATTTTAGCTAACAGACTTGGAATAAAACTCTAACAGTGTATTCCCTCCTTGATGCACATGTGTAATTCCTTCTAACTTAACGCTGAAAGTACATAGTAGAATAAACCATCTAGTGCAAACACTGCATACCTCGTGCTGATGGCTTATGCAGCTCCTGGTTATTTGCACAAGGCTTTTTTTACCATGTTCCACTTAGAGAAGATGTGAGGAGAAAGAAAAGCAGGTGTTCTCCCTTTGATTTTTTTTACCTTACATAGAATACTCTAGTTATAAAAATACCATGGGGATGCCCTCTTTTGGGCAGTAATTTTGTTTAGTGCTGTGATTTATTGTGGCTGTGAAAGTACCACAGCATCTATAAGTAAATTTAAATACACATTTTCAAGATCTTATTACAGAGAACAAGAATAATCTCTATATGCTTTTACTGCTGGCAATTGCTAATTCAAACCTTGCAGTGCCCCGTTTGTTGAATTATTACTGTACACATAGTGTAATCATACATTGTTGTAAAAGGGGGAACCCTTCATAAAAGCTGTCAACTTGTGAAGTATATGTACTATATATTACAATCATGATGTTAAATACATGAAACAACCAGCTGAGTGTCAAAATAATCTATCTTTACAGGGAAACACAGTACAAACTTTGTTAGCCGATACGATCCCAGGTTTAACAGCTGGATACAACTTCCACCCATGCAAGAGAGGTAAAAACCTGCTACGTGTTTTTCCATATATGTTTTATCATCCTAGGAGCAACTGAAGTTTTGCTTAGTTGTGGGAGTAAGGAGGCCTACAAAAGTTTTGACAATACTGAGATAAAAGTGCAGCATGCAGTGTGTCCCATTTGTCCCCTAATTTTTTTGAACTTTCCAAATTCAAAGCTCCAGATGCCAAATCCTGCAGTGCTAACTCATGCAAAATAACCATGGACTTTGTGCAATTACTGGTTGCCTGAGTACGGTCGGAAGGATTTTTCTGAAGTCTCTGTAGTGTCCTGTCATGTTCCCTGACTGAAGTGTCACGATGAGTTTGCAGTAAACAAGCAGTAATTACAGTCAGAGATCTTACAGGGAACTGAAACTCTCACGTGTTGACTCCATCCTGTTTCACCATGCCAGCCATGAAAAGCTCTCCTGAACATGTCTGCCCTTGTCAGGGCACTCTTAATCCTAGGTGGTCTTTGAGTGAAGTTGCTGTCACCTAATGCATATTAGAGTAGCACACGTTTTAATCTTACTGCGTACCAAAGAGCAGAGGTGCACACAGATTGGAGCAGTGACCCGTAAAGACAGCGTAAACTTGACTCTGGATCCTAAGTCCTACCCTGGCAGTGAAAAAGTCCTCCCAAACCTGACTGAATGGTGCATGTTTCATAAGAAGAATCTCAAAGGCAGAAGATTCAAAGTTACAGTGGTTTGTGAAGGAGCATTCAGTGTTCATCGTTCAGTTCAGCACCCCTGTACTCATGGATCCAATGTACCAGAGATCTCAGTAGCTTCCTAAGGTACTTCCCTTACTCCATGCACTGTCAGAATTTACACCTCTTTTTCTGCTGGCTGCTCGCCGTGCTCAGGTGTCTGGCAGTCGTAAATATACTGAACTCGGTGCAACTTTGCAATTCAAGGTGTGTATTACAAGATGCATAGAAATACAGCTGTCATTTCAAATTTCCAGAGGTAAAAAATACCAGTCGGTAAAGTTTTTGAAGGGCCTTTGTTCGAGATGTAGTTTAACTGACCTAAGTCCCTATGCAGACACATGTGCCATGCTTGTCACCATGGCGCATGAAAAAGTGCAAGTGGAACAGATCTGAGTAGGTTCCCTGTTGGAGCTGAGTGAACTGATAAAATTAGCCATATAAATAGAGATAAAAAACCACATCACAGTTTGTTATACTTGCTGGCTGTATTAATAACATCATCCTTTAGTTTAAAAGTCCTTTACTAAAATTAATTTTTCTTTTTTAGTTGTTAATAGAGGTACTACAACAGCAGGCTTTAGCTAAAGAGGTGGTCCCACCTTGGCAGCCCCCAGCCTTCTCCCTCACTCCAGCCAGCACTGGGGGATAACCCCACAAAGGAGTTACTTACCTTAAAACAGAGGAACGCCCTCCCCTCTGGTTCAGCTGCCTGGATTGTGTCACCACCGACTCAGGTGCTGTGTTGGGGAGACAGGAGGTGAGCTTGAGGTTGCACATCACAGTACAGGTCATCCTCAGCAAACCAGAGGCTGACTGGTGTTTGTATGTAGCCTGAAGCTCTTCTGTGGAGCCTAATCTCTGTCCTAATTAGGCCCTCTGGGTATCTGTAAGCAAAACTCCTGAGGGGCACGTGCAGCTGGCTCAATGGTTGGGTTTATTTGGCTGACAAAGCTCAGAAGGCAGAAGTGGGTATTTTTTTTTAAAGGTTCTTTCTAAGCGTTTGGGCTATTGTTGGAAAACAGAGATTTTCAAATTGCTTTCTAAAATGTTTTTAATGGTTTATTTGTGCATCCCTAATGACTTCTTCAGAGTTGTTGCAGCCTTTAGAGGTAGGGTCTGGCCCAGTTTTTATAAAATAGTGTAAACAAGAGAGAGCTCTTATGCAGTTTCCTTTCCCAGCTCCTCTAGTCAGATAAAGTTCCCATTAAAGTCAACAGGCTATTTTTTCCCCCCTAGGAGTACAGGGTCACGCCCTGTCTCTGCTGGCATAATGCAGGCACCATTGACAAGACAGACTGTTTAATGGGTTTTTCTGAGTCATTATGGTCCATCAAGTCAAAACCTACTTAGGAATTTTAGTCTGAGAATAATTGGCTGGATAGACTGTAATAGCTCCTTTGAAATGACTGCCAGGTAAATGTGGGTCTCATTCACAGGCAGTATATTCTCAAGTTGAAAATCTGTATGAAATATTTGATGAGTAAACTTTTATCTCATATGCTAAAATCCATATCTGATTGATTTTACTGTGTGAGCTATAAAGAGAAGTCTAATTCCATTATGGATTCAGAGCCGTCAGTGTATTTTCTTTAAAGCCAAGTTTTGTTTCTTTTCACTTGAAGAACATCTCAAAAATAGATGCTTTTGAAATGTCTGTACCAGTTTCAGGCATGCATTGTTTAGAGAAGCATCAGATAACTCAGAAGCTTTTGAAATGCTCATCTGCCTGACGATACAATAATAACGGGATGATTTTTGGAGAGCCGTTCAGTTAGGCTCATGTGCCTGCTGGAGGGGTGGTCTTTGTAGCAGATGTGTCTGAACTTGTGGCATGAACCTCAGCTGGAAACCTCAGTCAGCACTGCTTCATCTTGCCAGCTCAGCCTGGAGCTGGACAAGGTGTGTGGAACATAATAACATTTAAAACATCTTCTTTTTTTATTACGTTCTTAGTTTTTGGTTTAAGACATCAAAAACCACGGCATCGTACCAGGGCCAGAAGAAGCACATGTGGAAGTGAGCATCCTCACTGAGGCTGAGTGAACTGAGAAAAAAAGCTGCAAAAAAAGTAGTTAAAACTATTTCATGTTCCATTTTAGTCTTTGACTTTAATAATAGTAATGTTAGCCCTTACTAAGGTGACTTTAGTTTTTAAAATCAAAGCATACACTCTAAAAGTGACTCAGAAATCAGGTCTAGATATTGCAGTGATCAGTAATAGCATTGGTAGTTTTAAACCTCAAACTGGTATTTCTTGGTTTGGGGTGTTAATTCCTCATCTGTGGAAATCAGAAAGAAACTCTTCCCTTTTATGTGTGTGTAGTTATGAGAAGTTAGTCAGGTTAATTATTGAGTGAAGGGGTGTGAAGGGAAAGCATTTCAGAGACCAGTGTTCATTGAGTGCTGCAAGTCCTGAGGAAAACCACAGAATAATTGTCTTTGTCCATTTCTAGTTATCTGATTAGAATGGACAGTGTCTTCCCAGTTTTGTGGGGAAAGTTGTCTTGCAAAGACAGCTATATTATATTTTAATCTGAATTGTATTTTACAGCAGTTTAAAAAGCCATCGCTTAACAGCATGCCCCTTAGATGCTCTATCACTGAAAAGTAAAAAACCCACAAAGCTTGAGGTATTTGTGACAGGAGCTACTGAGTGAATATTCACATCTAAGCAGAAGAATGAGGCATGCTGATGCTTTCATTTTTGCTCCTTACAGTGACACTGTGTGGATGAAGCCAGGAGTACACGTACAGAATAACGTCAGAGAAATCCTAGTTAAGAGAATAATGCCTAATAATAAGACCTACCTCTGTTTATTAAACTTGAAGTAAAAATAACACTGGGGCCAGTTCAGGTTTGTCAGAGATGGTGCCTGAGCACAGACGAGGGGATGCGTGAGCACCCCAGGAATGGATGACAGGCACCCTGTGGGTTTGTGCCTTGTGGCTGACAGGCACGGGAGGGTCAGAGAATGTGTCCCTGCCCGTGCAGGCTCTCTGATGTCTAATAAGGTGGGACCTCTGCAGCTTTTCCTACTTTTGGGGCTGCTACGGGCTGTCCTGCCTCTGGCCTGTCACATACTCTCTGGAAGCATATAGCTGCTTGATTGCTTGTAACACCTATACCGTCTGTCAAATTAGAGTGAAGCCAGCCAGCAGGTTTTTGTTGAGGAGACAACAGTCAGGCAGATGTGGGTACAGTGTAATCAAATAAGCTTCATTTCCATAGAAAAACAGGCTAAAAACATAGATGCACAATTTGCTGCCCGGCCATGCAGAGCAATATATGCCATCAGCTCCTATCTGCCCATTGACAGATAAATTAAATGGTCTTATTTAATTCATCAGTTAAGCTGGAGGCACTTAGCAGTATTCCTGTCCTCCTATTTGCATCCTTTTTTTCCATAGCCTTATCCCTGTGGTGGTGTTGCCACTCAGTAAGGGCTGCTGTCCCGCACTTCCCGAGTTGCTCATGTGCAGGCAAGGTGAAAGCAAAGAGGTAGACAGGCAGTGCTCAGTGACCCTGGCTGCTGAGGAGCCCAAATCCACAAAGTGGAGCCAGAAACAGGCAGCATTGCATCAGATCTGTTCCCTGAATGCCCAGCCAGCCCTGCTGTTTCCACAGCTGTATCTCCTGTCTGCCTGACCTCTCCTCCAGCTTACAAACTCTCGGCCAGTCTCAGCCACACTTAACAGAGGGAAGTATCTCCCAGAATGTTAAAGCATACTACAGATTTTATGAAAATAGGCAGCTGGATAAAGGAGAAAGATCTTATTCCTGCCTTCACTGAAGGAAATGCTCCTGAATGTGTGCCTGGCTAGGTGGCAGGTTAGAGACAGGGCACACCAGGCTTTGCTAGCTCACCTGGCCATGGGATGACAATAGGGAAGCCTGGGGTGGAGTTGGGACATACCAGAGCTGTTCATTGCCCCTTGTTGTGCTCTGTATGTGGATCACCGCTCATCTCGAATGCTTCACAGAGGTCTGCAGGATTGAGCCCTTGGCAGCGCGGGTGACCATCAAGCCCCTGAGGTACACTGCGATTCAGGAGTGCAATATGCAGGCATTCGCACTCGGATTCGGGTGCCTGGGCAGGAACTAGAGCAGATTGTGTCAGCCACGGAGCGGGGTTTGGCAAGCTGCAGCCACACTCCAGCGTGCCTGCTTTGCAGGAGCTGTCAGAGCTAAACCTCGCTGCGCCTGATCCGCCTGCTTGTCTCTGGGCTCCCACACCACTCCAGTTTTACCCAGGAGAAAATTTTAGGTTTGGGACCGACAGTTTTTGTCATGTAGTACTTTGTACAGGTCTTCATCCTAGCCTAGCTGTGCTATTTTGCAGTTTTCTTCCTCATATCATTGCAGTTTAAAATTAAAGGCCTCTACACTAGCAAATAATCCAGGAAACCTTCACTGAAAGTGCATTACATCGAACATGATCTCTCAGAATCACCTACTGTTCTGTTTTTACTTCAGCAACAGGCACTCACTGTTAATTGTGGAGGAAGACGAACTAATATATACCTAGGAGTCCTGACCAGAAAAATTAATTCTTTTCCTGCATACTTGAGTTGCATGTGAAAGCGGACAGGTGACTAAAACTTTTAGCTGGATGGAGACAGACCTCTTTCAAGTTAACAGGTGGAAATGTGATATTGTGCCTAGCATAAGGAAAGTTGTTCTATTTGCAGTACTGCAGAAAGAAGAAAAAAATGATAATTGAAGAAAAATTTTGATGATGTGGTTCTCTTAGTAAATTGGGAACAATGACCCTTGAAGGACCATAAAGAAAGTGAATGTCAAGATAATTCATTATTGTTACATTATCTACCTCATTTTTCACTTTGTCTTACTGAGTTGTTACATCCCTTACAAGGTAATGCCCCAAACATTAATGAGCACCTTTTTATCTTTCACGGCTGTGAAGAAGCCACAAACAGCTTTGGAAGGAGATATTTTCTGACAGGTTTATGTGTGCTTAATTGTTTTGACACCAAAAATGAAGTATTTATTAGAAATAGTGTGTATTTGGTTAGTAAAGAAGCCACAGTCTCTAGGATAGCTGTAATCATGTGAAGCTCCTGGACACCTCTCTGAAGTAGCGTTTGAAGGAGCAGCTTTCTTAGTTCAGAGTTCAACTGGTGAGAGAAGAAAAAAGTGGTTGATGTGGCTAATTGGTTTGTTGTTGGCTTGTTTTGCTTTATTCTGCCCTGTCCTCCAGGAGAGCCAGTTTCTACGCCTGTCGCCTTGACAAGAACTTGTATGTAATTGGTGGAAGAAACGAAACCGGCTACTTGTCCAGTGTGGAGTGCTACAATCTGGAGACAAACGAGTGGCGTTACGTGTCTTCATTACCACAACCTTTGGCAGCACACGCGGGAGCCGTTCACAATGGCAAGATCTATATTTCAGGCCAGTGTCTTTTATAAACCTTGCTGTACAACAAAAAAACCAACCCAAACCCACTACTGAAACAAAACAGAAACCCAGAACCCAAAACCATAGAGCTA